GGATCATGACCTGAGCCGAAGGCAGCCGCTTAACCGACTGAGACACCCAGGCGCCCCCATCTTGGGTTGTAAGAATGCCGAAGATCCCTCTTCATCCTCGATCTTGGAACCCAACTAGTACTTTAAAGGTCCGATATCAGCAAGTTTATACTCTACACCAAGGGGTTCATCTGCAGACATACCGTTACTGTAGAAGAGAGTGGAGCGGCTTTTGTAAAAAAGTTCAGGTATCAAAGCGAAAGTTAGCTAAACTGGCTCATTCATCTCTATCGTAACAGCTTCCTCTTCTTTATCGACATGACTTGTTTGTGACAACTTAATATTTCCATTTCCTAGTACACCACTTGCAGAAAATTTCACTCCCTCTCTTGCACAGGAAATTACAACAGCATCTCCAATATGACTGAGATCTGGACATATATATGCAAATTCACCAGACGGTGTCTTCACTGCATAGCTAGCTATTGGCCTGTTCTGGAATTCCAAGTTGTTCCACATCTAAAGCCATTGACTTCATTTCAGGGGTGCCTTGGTGGCTCAGTGGGTTAAGCGTCTGCCTTTAGCTCGGGTGTGACCCTGGGGTCATAGGATTGAGCCCCAGGTGGAGCTCCCTGCTCAGTGGGGAGCCTGCTTCTCCCTCTGCCTCTCCCCCTGCTCCTCGCTTCTCTCTCTCTTAAATAAATTTAAAAAAAAAATTTTTTTTAAGCCATTAACTGCATTTCATAATCCGAAACCTTTTCTTGATTTGCAGCCTCAAATACTAGTGCCAGGGTGTCCGCATTATCTTCAGCCCTTAACGTAAGGAGGTCTTCACTGCACATTTTCGTATTTTGGACATGCTGGTGACGTTCCTGCCCCGGCCAGGCTGCAGTGGCCGCGGTAAGAGCCGAGGCCGTGGGAGCGCACGGGGAGCCGCGCCAGGGAGACCGCCGTGGGAACGGTTTACACCGCTGCAGCTTCGGATCCAGCGGGCCTCGTTGATGAGATCCGTAAGGGCCTCCAGCACATTCTCCTGGATGGAGCCCTGGACCAGGCGCGTCGGGAACAGGGTGGCCCTGTCGCAAGCAAGGACGCGGCCCCAGGAGGTTAGAAGTCATAGCTGGATTGGTGTCAGAGGCTAAGTGTGAACAGGCAGAGGCAGAGGCAGGCGCGAACACCTGAGACCCGGGAAGATCACTGCACATAACCTTCCTTATTGCGCTTTTTTTTTTTTTAATTTGACAGAGAGATAGAGAGAGCGCACAAGTAGGCAGAGTGGCAGGCAGAGGGAGAGGGAGAAGCAGGCTCTCTGCTGAGCAGGGAGCCGGACGTGGGGCTCGATCCTAGGACCCTGGGATCATGACCTGAGCCGAAGGCAGCCGCTTAACCGACTGAGCCACCCAGGCGCCCCCTTTTATTGCTCTTGAGTAAATACCTAAGAATAGAACTGCTGGCTCATGGGGTAGGTGCATGTTTCGTTTTATAAGAAAATGCCACACTATTTTCCAAAGTGGTTGTACCATTATACACTTCCAAAAACAATGTACAAGAGTGCTAATTACTACCCATCCTTGCCGACATTTAGTGTTGTTCATTTTATACACGTTAGACGTTGGGTGTGTAGTGGCAT